GCAATTGACTGTCATAGCCTCACATGAAAAAGTAAACATTGGCTGTTAATTACATTATTTTATTCAAATGGTTGGGGTCGTGAGAATATTCAGATATAAAAATGGGGTTGTGGGCCAAAAAGGTTTGGGAACCCTTGGATTAGCCTTAATGTCAGTACCCCTGCCCCCTGGTAAACAATGTATGATCGCTGGATGATTATTTTTAAGTCTAATATTGCGGGTAATGGAGTCGCCAATGACTAGGGTTTTCAATTTGTCAGACCTAATAGTGGGAGGCTTCGGAGGCTCAGACCCAGTAATGGGTGGAGGAGAGATCTGAGAAGGCTCGGTCTCTGACTCTAACTCCTTGCTTAGTGGGCAAAACTGTTTGAAAGTGTCTACCGGCTGAATGAGCGACACTGGTTGAGCATGCCGACAGCATTTATTTCCAGAAGCGGTGAGAAAATTGTCCGGCTGCGGGGACTGAGCAGGGGAATTAACACTACTACCTGTACTTACTGGTGGCGCAGACACTGTTTCATTCTTTCCTACACTTAAATAGCCCTTGTGTCTGAAGCCGGGCTTGCAACTCGGCTATCCTTACCACTATCCTGTTAGTGACTGATTAGACTGTTCCCTTGGTGGACAGCCCATGCAGTAGAACAAGTTCAGTCGTAGGTATCAATATCTTGGTGTTTAGGTTGTATTGGTGAGAAGCAGAACTTCCCGAATCATGATCATCAGAACATTTAGAAGAAACTTGATCTTAAATGTTTTATTATTTTTCAATTCCTTGTATAAACAAACAAAATGAGAGTATTTCATAATAAGCACTCCATCCAGACTGAAGACTCAAATGAGTCCAATATGGCACCCTATTCCTTAGTGAACTACTTATGACCAGATCCCAGATCTCTATGGGCCCTGGTCAAAAGTAGTGCACTATATAGGGAATAGGGTGCCATTTCAGACCCACACAGCATCTTCCCTGAACGTCCTCCATTAACAGACACTCTTCCAACTTCAATCCCTCAGGGGAGGAGTGAGATTAGGGCGTTCGGGAATTAATATACCAGGGCCTGTATTCACAAAGTGTCTTAGAGTAGGAGTGCTGATCTAGGATCAGTTTAGCCTTTTAGATTATAATGAATGGACAAAGAGGGCCTTATCCTAGATCAGCACCAATTCTTAACTCTTAATGCTTTATGAATATATATTTCTTTTTAACCCTTATTTTACCAGGTAAATTGACTGAGAAGACATTCTCATTTACAGCAACAACCTGGGGAATAGTTACAGGGATGAATGAGCCAATTACAAGCTGGGGCTGATTAGGTGGCCATGATAGCATGAGAGCCAGATTGGGAATTTAGTCAGGACACCGGGGTTGACAGCCCTACTCTTACGATAAGTGCCATGGGATCTTTTGTGCCCACAGGGAGTCAGGACACCCGTTTGACATCCCATCCAAAAGACAGAACCATACACAGGGCAATGACCTCAATCATTGCCCTGGGGCATTAGGATATTTTTGGGGGGACCAGAGGAAAGAGTGCCTCCTACTGGCCCTCCAACACCACTTCTAGCAGCATCTGGTCTCCCATCCAAGGACTGACCAGGACCAACCCTGCTTAATTTATTTTATATTTGAGATTCTTCAAATAGCCACCCTTTGCCTTAATGACAGCTTTGCACACTATTGGCATTCTCTCAACCAGCTTCATGAAGGAGTCACCTGGAATGCTTTTCAATTAACAGGTGTGCCTTCTTATAAGTTAATGCGTTTGAGCCAATCAGTTGTGTTGTGACAAGGTAGGGGGGTATACAGAAGATAGACCTATTTGGTAAAAGACCAAGTCCATATTATGGCAAGAGCAGCTCAAATAAGCAAAGAGAAACGACAGTCCATCATTACTTTCAGACATGAAGGTCAGTCAATCTGGAACATTTCAAGAAATGTGAAAGTTTCTTAAAGTGCAGTCACAAAAACCATCAAGCGCTATGATGAAGCTGGCTCTCATGAGGACCGCCACAGGAATGGAAGACCCAGAGTTAACTCTGCTGCAGAGGATAAGTTCATTAGAGTTACCAGCCTCGGAAATTGCATCCTAAATAAATGCTTCACAGAGTTCAAGTAACAGACACATCTAAACATCAACTGTTCAGAGGGGACTGAATCAGGCCTTCATGGTCGAATTGCTGCAATGAAACCACTACTAAAGGACACCAATAAAAAGAAGAGACTCGCTTGGGCCAAGAAACACGAGCAATGGACAATAGATCGGTGGAAATGTGTCCTTTGGTCTGGAACCAAATTGCAGATTTTTGGTTGCAACCGCCGTATCTTTGTGAGACGCGGTGTGGGGGAACGGATGATCGCCGCATGTGTATTTCCCACCGTAAAGCATGGAGGAGGAGGTGTTATGGTGTGGGGGTGCTTTGCTGGTGACACTGTCTGTGATTTATTTAGAATTCAAGGCACACTCAACCAGCATGGCTACCACAGCATTCTGCAGCGATACGCCATCCCATCTGGTTTGGGCTTAGTGGGACTATCATTTGTTTTTCAACAGGACAATGACCCAACACACCTCCAGGCTGTGTAAGGGCTATTTTACCAAGAAGGAGAGTGACGGAGTGCTGCATCAGATGACCTGGCCTCCACAATCCCCCGACCTCGAGATGGTTTGGGATGAGTCGGACCGTAGAGTTAAGGTAAAGCAGCCAACAAGTGCTCAGCATATGTTGGAACTCCTTCAAGACTGTTTGAAAAGCATTCCATGTGAAGCTAGTTGAGAGAATGCCGAGTGTGCAAAGCTGTCATCAAGGCAAAGGGTGGCTATTTGAAGAATCTCAAATATAAAATATATTTTGATTTGTTTAACCCTTTTTTGGTTACTACATGATTCCATATGTGTTATTTCATAGTTTTGATGTCTTCACTATTATTCTGCAATGTAGAAAATAGTTAAAAATAAAAAATTAACCTTGAATGAGTAGGTGTTCTAAAACTTTTGACCGGTAGTGTATATAGTATTCTAAATACCCAATTCATGTTGTTAAGTTCAATAGAATACAACATAAATATCGTTGAGACCATTCAAACCAATGAGGGTTCGGAACTTTAAAGCCAATTATCTCAGAATCATCTTTTTGCAGATTGAACCTTATGGTCCCAAGCTCTCGGTCTGCCATGTTGGTATAGAGCTCAGAGATTATGTAGACAGTGATCTGTTTTATGTTATAGTTTGCACCATGTTGATACCACTCCAGAGAGAGCAAAGCTTCATGAGATTATAACTATGATAATCATCTTTTTTTCTGAAAAACTGTTTAAGTTGAGTTCAATATTCGTTTCTGAATATTGAATGAAAAAAAAGAATATCTATGTGTAAAGAAATCTATGTATTTTAGGGCCTCATTGGAACACGCGTGTTAATGTGTGTGTGTTGAGGGAGGGATTCTGTTGACAAGCTCACACACCAGTTCCCCATACTTTTTCAAGTTTATTTCAGACGTGAAAAAATATGGCACAGAAAACCATTCAAATAAATGTCAAGACGGAGTGCATGGTGGATACAGAGGAATGGTGTAGTAGTATTAAACGTGGTTGCCGTTACATATTTAGTATCATTGTCTTTGAAGGCCCAATGCAGCTGTTTCTATTTCAATATCGAATAATTTCTGGGTAACGATTAAGTTCCTTACTGTAATAGATTTCCATTAAATTTGGCAAAAATTGCTTTATCTGTAAAAAATATTTATAGGACTGTCTGGAAGTGGTCTGAGTGGGGAGGGGAAAACTGAAAACTAGCTGGTTTTGGCAGAGAGGTTTGGAACTCTCTTTGTTATTGGTCTATTAACCAATTTACCACATGGTGATGTCACCATGGAAAGTCTAAACTCCCGCCCATGCATACCTGCTGATTAGAAGGCCCTGTGAAGATTGTATTTTCAACCAGCAACTCTGAGGAATAACACTTATCAAATTTTTTGCACACTTTTACAGTGTTAGTTTCATCAGCTGTTGTACAATATGATACAAAACACAGGAAAAACTGAATTTGAACTGCACTGGGCCTTTAACATAGCTTGGTCCTGGATCTAGGACTAAAGAAGAGGTATTGTGATATACCACCATAGTAGTGCAAGTTGCATGGATAATTTTTTTTTACTGAACAATGACAAGCCAGCAATCTGCACCATGAAGAGTTAGAAACGCTGTTTCACTTCTTCTCAAAGCTATTTATACATTCTTAGTTCTGGGAAACACAACAGGAATCAAACACATACATGAAAACACACCTAACATAACAGCCCCATGTATTCTCATGCAATCAGTCATAGCTAAACCTCTAAGGGTGCTTTCCTAATGGCACCTTATTCCCTATATAGTGCACTACTTTTGACCAGAGCTCTATGGGCTGTATGGGCCCTAGTCAAAAGTAGTGCACTATACAGGGAATAGAGTGGGATTTGAGATGCAGCCTAAGAGACACTGGAGGAATGATGGCCCTTACAGTCCATTGTGAGCCTCAGCAGCAGTTAAGACTTTTTTTATACTCTTTAGAAAAAGCACACTGATATATGGTACCTTGGTTATGAAATACATTTGTAATGCGTGTTGTGTTCTTCCTGTTGTTCCAGAGTAGCCTTGCTTAGAGTCAAATGTCTTTCACTCATTCTACATTCATCCTGTTCTGTTCCAGAAAGAGAGGAAAGAACATCTAATTTCCTCCCTTTGAGCTTTGGATCACAACAGAGCAAATTCTCGCAGAATGTAAGCTATTGATTACATTGGTTTGCCTTGAATTCATTTATGTCGTTTTTTCTTTGGTATTAAGCTTGTTCCACCTCTGCTCAATGCACCTGTTCAATGCTCATTCATTTTAATCTGAGGATGCCTTCTGAGAGAAAGCGAGAGAGAGAGAGAGAGAGTTAGTATACAGTAGATCTAGATGATACTAGATACAGTATGACAAGTGGTGTGTGTGTGTGTGTGTGTGTGTGGTTAACCTACCCGTGACCACTATGAAGATGATGACGGCCACACCCAGGAACATGGCGATACAGCTGAGCATTAGAGAGAGACGACCCAGCCTCTTAGCTCCGTCTGCATCCCCTGTCTGGAGAACAGACTGCGACTAGAGAGAGAGTGAGAAACGGAGAGATTGAGATGGGAGTGGGGGGGGGGAGAGAGAGAGCAGAGGGAAAGAGAGGCTATAAGGGCAACTAAAGCTTTTATTTAAAGGGATACTTCTGGATTCTACTTCCCAAGAGTGAGATGAACTCGTGGATACCATTTTTATGTCTCTGTGTCCAGTGTGAAGGAAGTTCGAGGGAGTTTCGCGAGCCAATGCTAACTAGCATTAGCGTAATGACTGAAAGTCTATGGGTATCTGTTAGCATGCTCATTGCCAAAATCCCGAAATATCCCTTTAAACTGATTTATGTAGAAGTGACACACACACACAAAGGGCCGGCTCCGGATGCTAGTGGGCCCCCGACCCCCAGGAACTCAGTTGGGGTTGTGCATTTGGTTGTGAATCAGCAGTTTTTCTCTTGTTATGTCAGTCACTGACTGTCACTCGATTATCCATGGCAGCTAACAATTTTTAGATTGGTAAGTTAGTCTAGCCAGCTATCTAAACTTGTAGTAATCATGGCCGAATACCGACCGGACACGCAGGGCATGTGCCCAGGGGCCCTGACTTCCAGGGGGCCCACATTGATTTTGTTAGTCACTCTCACTCAGATAAAATTTACATGGCATAAGTCTTATAAATTGGGTTAAAATCATGTATAGTAACCCTAGGTGTAAAATAGTAAATAATGGCTATTTCTCAGAAAGTTTTAAACTGTCAAGAGGAGTGAAACAAGGTTGTCCACTATCGGCATATCTATTTATTATTGCCATCGAGATGTTAGCTATTAAAATCAGATCCAACAATAATATCAAGGGATTACAAGTCCAGGGCTTAAAAACAAAGGTGTCATTGTACGCTGATGATTCATGTTTTCTTTTAAATCCAGAACTTGAATCCCTCCACAGCCTCATAGAGGATCTAGATACATTTTCTAACCTCTCTGGATTACAACCAAATTATGACAAATGTACTATATTACGTATTTGTCACGCCCTGGCTCTGGGGACTATTAAATGTTGAGCCAGGGTGTGGATTTTCTATGTTATAGTTTTCTATGTTTTGTTCTAGATGGTTTAGATCTATGTTGGCCAGGGTGGTTCCCAATCAGAGGCAGCTGTAGCTCGTTGTCTCTGATTGGGGACCATACTTAGGCAGCCTGTTTTGCACTAGTCTTTGTGGGATCTTGTTCCGTAAGGTTTGTTTTGTATTAACCTAGGACTTCACGTATTGTTTGTTTTGTTCGTGTGGTGTACTACAAATATTTACGCTTATCACGCTGCGCCTTGGTCCGTGTCTTCAGTCAACAATCGTGACAGTATTGGATCACTAATAAATACAATTTTTACATTACCATGTCGTTTACCAATAAAATGGTCTGATGGTGATGTGGATATACTTGGAAAACATATCCCAAATGAAATAAATGATCTCACTCCAATACATTTTAATAGAAAGTTAGCAAAAATAGGTAAGATCTTGCTACCATGGAAAGGTAAATACCTGTCAATTTGTGAAAAAAAAAAAGGTATAATCTTCGTAAATGATATTATCGGTAGGACTGGTGGAGTTATGTCGCACATGCAGCTAACAAAAACGTATGGAAATGTCTGCTCTACCCAAAATTACAACCAAATAATTGCAGCATTACCGCAAAAATGGAAAAGGAAAGTGGAAGGCGGAAAAAGTAAGGAACTTGTCTGTCGGCCTTGCATTAAAGAATATAATTGGTTAAAGAAAATTGTGATAAATTAAAAAGTATACCAATTTCATTTAAGGACCAAAGGATTGACAGCCGTCCCATTCAGATTGCAAAATAGTTGGGAAGAGATTTTTGACGTACCGATTCCATGGCATAGTGTTTATGAATTGATACGCAAAACGACGCCGGATTCAAAACTTAGAATTGTTCAATTTAAATTATTATATATAATTCATGCTACCAATAGAATATTATTTATATGGGGGATACAATCTTCCCAGCTCTGCAGATTTTGCTGCGAAGAGACAGAATCATTGCATCATTTGTTTTGGTACTGTCCATTTGTAGCTTGTTTTTGGGACCAGGTCCAGGAATGGCTAAAGGGTTGCAATATTTACCTGGAGCTAACCCTGCAGATAGCACTACTGGGTGATCTGAAAAGTCATAGTCAATCGATCAATAATATAATAATACTTTTAGCAAAAAAAATTATTTTGAATTTACGATCTGTAGAAACAATGAGAATGGAAAGGTTCAGAACGTTTGTAAAACATCACAGTACAGTTGAAAAATATATGGCAAATAGAAATCCAATATGGATGGTATTAAGAGATAGATGGGAGGTGTTGAATGGAGCTGAAGGATGGGACTAATAACAACAACTAATGACAACAAGATAACTAATGTAAAGCATACTGTGTCCATAATAAGTATATATGTTATAGGTTGAGAGCTTTTGTGAAAGAGCACAGTTAGAAAAATATGGCATATAGAAGCAAACCAGATGGACATTATGAAAATGATCGGAGGAAGTTCAGGAGTAAAAACAAACAAAATATAATTATTGTAGTATTTGACTGTGTCCATAAAATGTAAATAGTATGTATGGGCTGGAAGTAGAGGCCTAAGCGTTGTTGTTCACTAGTTTACTCCAATTGGGGAAGGGGTGGTGGGGTTGGAAAGTAATGAAGGGAAATATAATTTTAAAAAGGATATGTGTGTGTATGGATGTATGTATATATGTATGTATATACACTGCTCAAAAAAATAAAGGGAACACTTAAACAACACAACGTAACTCCAAGTCAATCACACTTCTGTGAAATCAAACTGTCCACTTAGGAAGCAACACTGATTGACAATACATTTCACATGCTGTTGTGCAAATGGAATAGACAACAGGTGGAAATTATAGCCAATTAGCAAGACACCCCCAATAAAGAAGTGGTTCTGCAGGTGGTGACCACAGACCACTTCTCAGTTCCTATGCTTCCTGGCTGATGTTTTGGTCACTTTTGAATGCTGGCGGTGCTTTCACTCTAGTGCAGGGTTCTTCAATTCCGGTCCTGGAGGGCCGAAACACTTCTGTTTTTTATTTCTACCTGGTAGTTAATTGCACTCACCTGGTGTCCCAGGTCTGAATTAGCCCCTGATTAGAAGGAGAGGATGAAAAACAGAGGTGTTTCGGCCCTCCAGGACCGGAATTGAAGAACCCTGCTCTAGTGGTAGCATGAGACGGAGTCTACAATCCACACAAGTGGCTCAGGTAGTGCAGCTCATCCAGGATGGCACATCAATGCGAGCTGTGGCAAGAAGGTTTGCTGTGTCTGTCAGTGTAGTGTCCAGAGCATGGAGGCGCTACCAGGAGGCAGACCAGTACATCAGGAGACATGGAGGAGGCCGTAGGAGGGCAACAACCCAGCAGCAGGACCGCTACCTCCGCCTTTGTGCAAGGAGGAGCAGGAGAAGCACTGCCAGGGCCCTGCAAAATGACCTCCAGCAGGCCACAAATGTGCATGTGCGGTCAGAAACAGACTCCATGAGGGTGTTATGAGGGCCCGACGTCCACAGGTGGGGGTTGTGCTTACAGCCCAACACCGTGCAGGACGTTTGGCATTTGCCAGAGAACACCAAGATTGGCAAATTCGCCACTGGCGCCCTGTGCTCTTCACAGATGAAAGCAGGTTCACACTGAGCACGTGACAGACGTGACAGAGTCTGGAGATGCCGTGGAGAACGTTCTGCTGCCTGCAACATCCTCCAGCATGACCGGTTTGACGGTGGGTCAGTCATGGTGTGGCGTGGCATTTCTTTGGGGGGCCGCACAGCCCTCCATGTGCTCGCCAGAGGTAGCCTGACTGCCATTAGGTACCGAGATGAGATCCTCAGACCTCTTGTGAGACCATATGCTGGTGCGGTTGGCCCTGGGTTCCTCCTAATGCAAGACAATGCTAGACCTCATGTGGCTGGAGTGTGTCAGCAGTTCCTGCAAGAGGAAGGCATTGATGCTATGGACTGGCCCGCCCGTTCCCTAGACCTGAATCCAATTGAGCACATCTGGGACATCATGTCTCGCTCCATCCACCAACCCCACGTTGCACCAAAGACTGTCCAGGAGTTGGCGGATGCTTTAGTCCAGGTCTGGGAGGAGATCCCTCAGGAGACCATCCGCCACCTCATCAGGAGCATGCCCAGGCGTAGTAGGGAGGTCATACAGGCACGTGGAGAACACACACACTACTGAGCCTCATTTTGACTTGTTTTAAGGACATTACATCAAAGTTGGATCAGCCTGTAGTGTGGTTTTCCACTTTAATTTTGAGGGTGACTCCAAATCCAGACCTCCATGGGTTGATACATTTGATTTCCATTGATCCATTTTGTGTGATTTTGTTGTCAGCACATTCAACTATGTAAAGAAAAAAGTATTTAATAAGATGATTTCATTCATTCAGATCTAGGATGTGTTGTTTAAGTGTTCCCTTTATTTTTTTGAGCAGTGTATATGTGTGTGTATGTGTGTGTATGTATGTGTATGTACAGTGAGGGAAAAAAGTATTTGATCCCCTGCTGATTTTGTACGTTTGCCCACTGACAAAGACATGATCAGTCTATAATTTTAATGGTACGTTTATTTGAACAGTGAGATACAGAATAACAACAAAAAAATCCAGAAAAACGCATGTAAAAAATGTTATGAATTGATTTGCATTTTAATGAGGGAAATAAGTATTTGACCCCGCTGCAAAACATGACTTAGTACTTGGTGGCAAAACCCTTGTTGGCAATCACAGAGGTCAGACGTTTCTTGTAGTTGGCCACCAGGTTTGCACACATCTCAGGAGGGATTTTGTCCCCCTCCTCTTTGCAGATCTTCTCCAAGTCATTAAAGTTTCGAGCCTGACGTTAGGCAACTCGAACCTTCAGCTCCCTCCACAGATTTTCTATGGGATTAAGGTCTGGAGACTGGCTAGGCCACTCCAGGACCTTAATGTGCTTCTTCTTGAGCCACTCCTTTGTTCCCATGGCCATGTGTTTTGGGTCATTGTCATGCTGGAATACCCATCCACGACCCATTTTCAATGCCCTGGCTGAGGGAAGAAGGTACATGGCCCCGTCCATAATCCCTTTGATGCGGTGAAGTTGTCCTGTCCCCTTAGCAGAAAAACACCCCCAAAGCATAATGTTTCCACCTCCATGTTTGACGGTGGGGATGGTGTTCTTGGGGTCATAGGCATCATTCCTCCTCCTCCTAAACACGGCAAGTTGAGTTGATGCCAAAGAGCTCCATTTTGGTCTCATCTGACCACAACACTTTCACCCAGTTCTCCTCTGAATCATTCAGATGTTCATTGGCAAACTTCAGACGGGCATGTATATGTGCTTTCTTGAGGAGGGGGACCTTGCGGGCGCTGCAGGATTTCAGTCTTTCATGGCGTAGTGTGTTACCAATTGTTTTCTTGGTGACTATGGTCCCAGCTGCCTTGAGATCATTGACAAGATCCTCCCGTGTAGTTATGGGCTGATTCCTCACCGTTCTCATGATCATTGCAACTCCACGAGGTGAGATCTTGCATGGATGCCCAGGCCGAGGGAGATTGACAGTTATTTTGTGTTTCTTCCATTTGCGAATAATCACACCAACTGTTGTCACCTTCTCACCAAGCTGCTTGGCGATGGTCTTGTAGCCCATTCCAGCCTTGTGTCGGTCTACAATCTTGACCCTGACATCCTTGGAGAGTTCTTTGGTCTTGGCCATTGTGGAGAGTTTGGAATTTGATTGATTGATTGCTTCTGTGGACAGGTGTCTTTTATACAGGTAACAAACTGAGATTAGGAGCACTCCCTTTAAGAGTGTGCTCCTAATCTCAGCTCATTACCTGTATAAAAGACACCTGGGAGCCAGAAATCTTTCTGATTGAGAGGGGGTCAAATACATATTTCCCTCATTAAAATGCAAAATAATTTATAACATATTTGACATGCGTTTTTCTGGATTCTTTTGTTGATATTCTGTCACTCACTGTTCAAATAAACCTACCATTAAAATTATAGACTGATCTTTTCTTTGTCAGTGGGCAAACGTACAAAATCAGCAGGGGATCAAATTCTTTTTTTCCCTCGCTGTATACAGTGGGGAGAACAAGTATTTGATACACTGCCGATTTTGCAGGTTTTCCTATTTACAAAGCATGTAGAGGTCTGTAATTTTTATCATAGGTACACTTCAACTGTGAGAGACGGAATCTAAAACAAAAATCCAGAAAATCACATTGTATGATTTTTAAGTAATTAATTTTCATTTTATTGCATGACGTAAGTGGCGCAGTGGTCTAAGGCACTGCATCGCAGTGCTAGCTGTGCCACTAGAGATCCTGGTTCGAATCCAGGCTCTGTCATAGCTGGCCGCGACCGGGAGACCCGTGGGGCGGTGCACAATTTGTCCAGGGTAGGGGAGGGAATGGCCGGCAGGGATGTAGCTCAGTTGGTAGAGCATGGCGTTTGCAACGCCAGGGTTGTGGGTTCGATTCCCACGGGGGGCCAGTATGAAAAAAAATAATAATAATGTATGCACTAACTGTAAGTCGCTCTGGATAAGAGCGTCTGCTAAATGACTAAAATTTAAAAATTTAAATGTAAGTATTTGATACATCAGAAAAGCAGAACTTAATATATGGTACAGAAACCTTTGTTTGTAATTACAGAGATCATACGTTTCCTGTAGGTCTTGACCAGGTTTGCACACACTGCAGCAGGGATTTTGGCACAGACCTTCTCCAGATCCTTCAGGTTTCGGGGCTGTCGCTGGGCAATACGGACTTTCAGCTCCCTCCAAATATTTTATATTGGGTTCAGGTCTGGAGACTGGCTAGGCCACTGCAGGACCTTGAGATGCTTCTTACGGAGCCACTCCTTAGTTGCCCTGGCTGTGTGTTTCGGGTCGTTGTCATGCTGGAAGACCCAGCCACGACCCATCTTCAACGCTCTTACTGAGGGAAGGAGATTGTTGGCCAAGATCTCGCGATACATGGCCCCATCCATCCTCCCCTCAATACGGTGCAGTCGTCCTGTCCCCTTTGCAGAAAAGCATCCCCAAAGAATGATGTTTCCACTTCCATGCTTCACGGTTGGGATGGTGTTCTTGGGGTTGTACTCATCCTTCTTCTTCCTCCAAACACGGCGAGTGGAGTTTAGACCAAAAAGCTCTATTTTTGTCTCATCAGACCACATGACCTTCTCCCATTCCTCCTCTGGATCATCCAGATGGTCATTGGCAAACTTCAGACGGGCCTGGACATGCGCTGGCTTGAGCAGGGGGACCTTGCGTGCGCTGCAGGATTTTAATCCATGATGGCGTAGTGAATGGTTTTCTTTGCGACTGTGGTCCCAGCTCTCTTCAGGTCATTGACCAGGTCCTGCCGTGTAGTTCTGGGCTGATCCCTCACCTTCCTCGTGATCATTGATGCCCCACGAGGTGAGATCTTGCATGGAGCCCCAGACCGAGGGTGATTGACCGTCATCTTGAACTTCTTCCATTTTCTAATAATTGCGCCAACAGTTGTTGCCTTCTCACCAAGCTGCTTGCCTATTGTCCTGTAGCCCATCCCAGCCTTGTGCAGGTCTACAATTTTATCCCTGATGTCCTTACACAGCTCTCTGGTCTTGGCCATTGTGGAGAGGTTGGAGTCTGTTTGATTGAGTGTGTGGACAGGTGTCTTTTATACAGGTAATGAGTTCAAACAGGTACAGTTAATAGAGGTAATGAGTGGATAACAGGAGGGCTTCTTAAAGAAAAACTAACAGGTCTGTGAGAGCCGGAATTCTTACTGGTTGGTAGGTGGTCAAATACTTATGTCATGCAATAAAATGTACGCGACGTGTATGCGGTGAGCGAAGTCAAGCGCAGGACACAGAGCTACTGGCAGACGTACTTTACTAGTCAGTAAAGAACATACAAAACAAACCCTCCTAACAAGGAGGAAAACAAGGACACGCATACGACAACAGCAATGCCGACCATACGAGACACAAAACAATAACACACAATTACCAAACGAGAGACATGGGTAAATATAGGGACTACAATCAAACATAATAGCATACAGGTGTAACCACTCAAGACAGAACAAGACAAACACCGAAACATCGATCGGCAGCAGCTAGTACTCCGGGGACGACGAACGCCGAAGCCTGCCCGAGCAAGGAGTAGGAGCAGCGTCGGCAGAATCTGTGACAGTACCCGTACGGCAGAATCGGAGCCGCGCGTCAACCCCGGCCTCGGGGACGGCCAGGAGGACGCGGAGCAGGGCGAGTCGGATGACTCCGGTGGAAATCCGTCAACAGGGAGGGATCTAGGATGTCCCTCCTAGGGACCCAGCACCGTTCCTCCGGACCGTAACCCTCCCACTCCACGAGATACTGCAGACCCCCCATCCGACACCTCGAATCCACAATGGAACGGACTGAGTACGCCGGAGCCCCTTCGATGTCTAGTGGGGGCGGAGGAGCCTCTCGTATCTCATTCTTCTGGAGTGGACCAGCTACCACCGGCCTGAGGAGAGACACATGGAATGAGGGGTTAATGCGGTAATTTATGGGCAGTTGTAACCTATAACATACCTCGTTCAATCTCCTCAGGACTTTAAATGGCCCCACAAACCGCCGACCCAGCTTCCGGCAGGGCAGGCGAAGGGGCAGGTTTCGGGTCGAGAGCCAGACCCGATCTCCAGGTGCATAAACCGGACCCTCACTGCGGTGGCGATCGGCGCTCGCCTTTTGCCTACTGATAGCCCGCTGCAGATGGACATGCGCAGCGTTCCATGTTTCCTCCGAGCGCCGAAACCACTCATCCACCGCAGGAGCCTCGATCTGGCTCTGATGCCAGGGTGCCAGGACCGGCTGATACCCCAACACACACTGAAAAGGCGTAAGATTAGTGGAGGAGTGGCGAAGTGAGTTTTGGGCTATCTCTGCCCAGGGGATATAACCCGCCCACTCCTCCTGCCGATCCTGGCAATAGGACCTCAGAAACCTACCCACATCCTGGTTTACTCTCTCCACCTGCCCATTACTCTCAGGGTGAAAACCCAAGGTAAGGCTAATCGAGACCCCCAAACGTTCCAAAAACGCCCTCCAGACTCTAAAGGTGAACTGGGGACCCCGATCAGACACTATATCCTCAGGCACCCCGTAGTGCCTGAGTAAACAGGGCGTCGGCCATTTGTAGGGCTGTAGGGAGACCTGGCATCGGAATGAGACGGCAGGCCTTAGAAAACCGATCCACAACGACCAAGATCGTGGTATTCCCCTGGGAGGGGGGAAGGTCTGTGACAAAATCCACCGATAGGTGAGACCACGGCCGTTGTGGAACGGGTAGGGGTTGTAACTTCCCTCTGGGCAGGTGTCTAGGCGCCTTACACTGAGCGCACACCAAGCAGGAAGAAACGTAAACCCTCACGTCCTTAGCCAAGGTGGGCCACCAGTACTTCCCGCTAAGGCAGTGCACCGTTCGACCAATACCCGGATGACCAGAGGAGGGTGACGTGTGAGCCCAATATATCAGTCGATCACGGACCTCGAGCGGCAGGTACCTCCGCCCCTCTGGACACTCTGGGGGAGTAGGGTCGGTACGTAACGCCCGCTCGATTTCCGCATCGACCTCCCACACCACCGGTGCCACTAGACAAGACTCCGGGAGTATGGGAGTGGGCTCAATGGACCTCTCCTCTGTGTCATATAGCCGGGACAGGGCATCTGCCTTAGCGTTCTGTGACCCTGGTATATACGTGAGCTTAAAGACAAACCGGGCAAGAAACATGGACCACCTAGCCTGACGAGGGTTCAGTCTCCTCGCTAGCCGGATGTACTCCAGGTTACGATGGTCAGTCAGAATGAGGAAAGGGTGTTTAGCCCCCTCAAGCCAATGCCTCCACACCTTCAGGGCTTGAACCACCGGTAGCAGCTCCCTGTCCCCCACGTCATAATTGCATTCCGCCGGACTGAGCTTCTTGGAATAAAAAGCACAGGGGCGGAGTTTTGGAGGCGTGCCCGAGCGTTGAGACAGTACAGCACCTATCCCCGCCTCGGACGCATCCACCTCAACTTGGAACGCCAAAGAGGGGTCCGGATGTGCCAGCACCGGAACCGAGGTGAACAGGTCCTTCAGATGTCTAAACACCCTGTCCACCTCAGCCGACCACTGCAAACGCACCGGGCCCTCCTTTAGCAGGGAGGTGATGGGAGCTGCTACCTGTCCAAACCCCGGATAAACCTCCGGTAGTAATTGGCAAAACCCAAAAACCGCTGCACCTCCTTAACCGTGGTGGGAGTCTACCAATTACGCACAGCTGAAACGCGGTCAATCTCCATCTCCACCCCTGACGCGGACAACCGATGTCCCAGGAAGGAGATGGACTCCTGGAAAAACAGGCATTTCTCCGCCTTCACATACAAGTCATGCTCCAACAGTCTACCCAACACCCGACGCACCAGGGACACATGCTCGGCTCGTGTAGCGGAGTATATTAGAATGTCATCAATATACACCACTACACCCTGTCCATGCAAATTCCGGAAAATCTCGTCCACAAATGATTGGAAGACTGAAGGAGCATTCATTAACCCGTATGGCATGACGAGATACTCATAGTGACCCGAAGTGGTACTAAATGCTGTTTTCCTTTCATCTCCCTCCCTAATGCGCACCAGGTTGTAAGCGCTCCTGAGATCCAATTTTGTGAAGAATCGCGCCCCGTGTAATGACTCCGTCATACTCGCAATCAGAGGGAGAGGATAGCTGTACTTCATGGTAATCTGGTTGAGACCACGGTAATCAATACACAGGCGCAAACCCCCATCCTTCTTCTTCACAAAAAAGAAACTCGAGGACGCAGGGGAAGTGGACGGCCGTATGTATCCCTGTCCCAGAGATTTGGTGACGTATGTCTCCATAGCTGCCGTCTCCTCCTGAGACAGAGGATACACATGACTACGAGGAAGTGCAGCGCCTGCCTGGAGGTCTATCGCACAATCCCCCTGTCTATGAGGTGGTAATTGAGTCGCCTTCTTCTTACAGAAGACGAGTGCCTACTCAGGAGGAATGTGCATTGCGGGCATTTGGTTCTGACTTTCCACCGTCGTTGCCCATACGGAAACACCTATACACCGCCCGACACACTGATAAGACCATCCCTTGAGAGCCCTCTGTTGCCATGAAATGTTGGGGTCATGAGATATTAACCAGGGACTCCCCAATACCACAGGAAACATAGGAGAGTCAATCAAATACAACTGTATAATCTCCTCATGACCCCCTTGTGTCTTCATCTTAAGTGGCGCTGTGACCTCCCTAATCAATCCCGACCCCAAAGGGCGGCTGTCTAGGGCATGGATGGGGAAGGGCACATCAACTGGTATAAGGGGAATCCCTAACTTATACGAGAAACAGCGATCGATAAAATTCCCAGCTGCGCCTGAATCGACTAGCGCCTTATGCTGGGAGTGAGAAGAAACCTCAGGGAAACACAACTTTAATACACATATGTACAACAGAGAGCTCTTGGTGAGTTGGGTGCTTACTCACCTGGAATGATTCATCAGTGCGTGGCCTGCTGCCTCGATCCCTAGGAGACCCTCCCCAGCACCGAACCACAGTGTGTCCTCTGCGGCCACAGTTGGTGCAGGGGACGGCCTCTCTCCTGGTCTCTCTCCTCTTCTCTCTAGCACCAGCACCCCCGAGCTCCATAGGGCTTGGCTCGGAGGTGCTGGGGGATGGAATGGACGGCCCCAACTCCGGACGTCCGCGGGTAGCCAACAGGGTATCTAGACGAATCGACATGTCCACCAGCTGATCAAAACTTAGGTTGGTGTCCATGCAGGTCAACTCTCGGCGAACGTCCTCCCTTAGGCTGCACCTGTAGTGGTCGATGAGGGCCCTCTCATTCCATCCCGCATTGGCAGCCAGAGTCCGGAAGTCCAGTGCAAACTCCTGCGCGCTCCTCTTCCCCTGTCTGAGGTGGAACAGACGCTCACCCGCCGCTTTCCCCTCTGGGGGATGATCGAAAACCGCCCTGAAGCGGCGGGAGAACTCTGCATAGCTGACTGTAGCGGCGTCTATTCCCCTCCACTCGGCATTGGCCCACTCCAGTGCCTTGCCGGACAGACAGGAGATGAGGGCGGAAATGCTCTCGTATCCCGAGGGCGCCGGGTGGATGGTTGCCAGGTAGAGTTCCACTTGGAGCAGGAAACCCAGACACCCGTCCGCGGTGCCATCATAAGCCCTCGGGAGCGAGAGCCGAATCCCACTGGACTCCGGAGGTGGAACGATGGGTATGGCAGATGGTGGTGGTATCGTTGGAGGAGGTGTGGGCAAACCTCCTCCTTCGCATCGCCTCAAGGTGTCCATCACCCCTTGCATGGTGGTGACAAGATCCTGGATCATGGCCGCTTGGTGGATAACGCGCTCCTCCAGTGATTCCGTTGGCACCGCCGATCCTGATGACCCCATGTATGGTGTGTTATTCTGTCAATGGCGACGTGTATGCGGTGAGCGAAGTCAAGCGCAGGACACAGAGCTACTGGCAGACGTACTTTACTAGTCAGTAAAGAACATACAAAACAAACCCTCCTAACAGGGAGGAAAACAAGTACACACATACGACAACAGCAATGCCGACCATACGAGACACAAAACAATAACACACAATTACCAAACGAGAGACAGGGGTAAATATAGGGACTACAATCAAACATAATAGCATACAGGTGTAACCACTCAAGACAGAAGAAGACAAACACCGAAACATCGATCGGCAGCAGCTAGTACTCCGGGGACGACGAACGCCGAAGCCTGCCCGAGCAAGGAGGAGGAGCAGCCTCGGCAGAATCCGTGACAAGCTGCCCCATAGCAAAATGAGTAGATTTGCATGACATTTGTTATAAAATTGCTAAACTTCTCTCCACCCCATGGCAAAATGTGTATAATTGAAAAAATTTTGCTTTAAAACGGCAACATTTTCTCTACTCCCCTTGGTATGGTATTGCAGGAAATTAACTTTAAAACTAAAAAGTTTCTCTCTGGCAATTGCCCGCAAAGTGGGGGGCCCCCTACCAAATCTCGCATAGGGCTCCCAAACGGCTAAGGCTGGCCCTGCACACACATACATATTACTATGGGTTGAAAGCAAACAATCTTAGAGAATACACCGCACTATCTCTCAAAATACCCCCAAATGCACTAATATATGGTGATGTTATTGGGTAGGCCTACAAGATTGGTGATATTCCAGATACAAAGCACTGGAGAAAATGATTAAGTTATTATGTTGTTACCATACCACAGACCAAAGCAAGAAAACTTACCATGTAAGCATACCACAGCGCGAACATGTTCACCGGCATAGCAGGACAAAAGCATGACAATATCGCAAGCCACAGGTAGCTTGGCGGCTCTGAACCGGGTGGCACCGGGGAGAGGAGGAGGGGGGGTCCGAAGCTCAGCTGGGACGGGGACACGGGCGCGGCACAGAGGTGCCCCACAGAGCCTGACCTTAATGGCTTTTGGTGTCCGTTCTGCTCGGCATTCAGGGAACGGATGCTGCTTCTCAAGTTGAGAGAGGGGTCGCACGGTTTGAGGTTGCTTTCCCCGGTGGGTTCGGTGGTCACGGCTCTCAGGAGTTTCTCTGTGTCTTGGAAGTCGATGGGATGTGAGACTTCCCTCTCCCCCAGTGCGCTTTTACCAAACGCGGCATCCGTGTTGATAGCCATTCTTTAGATACACATTTCTATATATTCCTCCAAGACGCGTCGGAAATCACTTTTTGAATCAAACTTTCGTATTAGCTTGTCTTTGATGAAATCAGGGTGACAGATGAGTAACTCGCCTTTGGGCGGTCATCATCAGCATTAACAGTAGTTTGAACACATTAATTTGATTAGATATGATAAAATAACATATCTAATATCAATACAAAGTTATTGAATGGTAAACTAATAAACCAAGCAATTTAATCTCGCCAATACGTCCGATGTACACGTGATGATATTGATGGCTCTCTAGTTCCACCCGGTTCTCCAGTCTTCACTAAGTGCACGCCCTGCTTTTTCAAACGGAAACCCCTCGTGTGTATTACCGCTCCCTATAACCATCAGCATCCCCTCAGTGTCTGGACCACTGCATTAGGCTACATAACACATGGGTATGGCAGATGGTGGTGGTGTCGTTGGAGGAGGTGTGGGCAAACCTCCTCCTTCCCATCGCCTCAAGGTGTCCATCACCCCTTGCATGGCGGTGCCAAGATCCTGGATCATGGCCGCTTGGTGGATAACGCGCTCCTCCAGTGATCCCGTTGGCACCGCCGATCCTGCTGACCCCATGTATGGTGTGTTATTCTGTCAAGGGCGACGTGTATGCGGTGAGCGAAGTCAAGCGCAGGACACAGAGCTACTGGCAGACGTACTTTACTAGTCTGTAAAGAACATACAAAACAAACCCTCCTAACAGGGAGGAAAACAAATACACGCATACGACAACAGCAATGCCGACCATACGAGACACAAAACAATAACACACAATTACCAAACGAGAGACATGGGTAAATATAGGGACTACAATCAAACATAATAGCATACAGGTGTAACCACTCAAGACAGAACAAGACAAACACCGAAACATCGATCGGCAGCAGCTAGTACTCCGGGGATGACGAACGCCGAAGCCTGCCCGAGCAAGGAGGAGGAGCAGCCTCGGCAGAATCCGTGACAAGCTGCCCCATAGCAAAATGAGTAGATTTGCATGACATTTGTTATAAAATTGCTAAACTTCTCTCCACCCCATGGCAAAATGTGTATAATTGCAGAAATTTTGCTTTAAAACTGCAACATTTTCTCTACGCCCCTTGGTATGGTATTGCAGGAAATTAACTTTTAAACTAAAACGTTTCTCTCTGGCATTTGCCCGCAAAGTGGGGGGCCCCCTACCAAATCTCGCATAGGGCTCCCAAACGGCTAAGGCTGGCCCTGCACACACATACATATTACTATGGGTTGAAAGCAAACAATCTTAGAGAATACACCGCACTATCTCTCAAAATACCCCCAAATGCACTAATATATGGTGATGTTATTGGGTAGGCCTACAAGATTGGTGATATTCCAGATACAAAGCACTGGAGAAAATGATTAAGTTATTATGTTGTTACCATACCACAGACCAAAGCAAGAAAACTTACCATGTAAGCATACCACAGCGCCAACATGTTCACCGGCATAGCAGGACAAAAGCACGACAACATCGCAAGCCACAGGTAGCTTGGCGGCTCTGAACCGGGTGGCACCGGGGAGAGGAGGAGGGGGGGTCCGAAGCTCAGCTGGGACGGGGACACGGGCGCGGCACAGAGGTGCCCCACGGAGCCTGACCTTAATGGCGATTGGTGTCCGTTCTGCTCGGCATTCAGGGAACGGATGCTGCTTCTCAAGTTGAGAGAGGGGTCGCACGGTTTGAGGTTGCTTTCCCGGGTGGGTTCGGTGGTCACGGCGCTCAGGAGTTTCTCTGTGTCTTGGAAGTCGATGGGATGTGAGACTTCCCTCTCCCCCAGTGCGCTTTTACCAAACGCGGCATCCGTGTTGATAGCCATTCTTTAGATACACATTTCTATATATTCCTCCAAGACGCCTTCGGAAATCACTTTTTGAATTAAACTTTCGTATGAGCTTGTCTTTGATGAAATCAGGGTGACAGATGAGTAACTCGCCTTTGGGCGGTCGTCATCAGCATTAACAGTCGTTTGAACACATTAATTTGATTAGATATGATAAAATAACATATCTAATATCAATACAAAGTTATTGAATGGTAAACTAATAAACCAAGCAATTTAATCTCGCCAATACGTCCGATGTACGCGTGATGATATTGATGTCTCTCTAGTTCCACCCGGTTCTCCAGTCTTCACTAAGTGCACGCCCTGCTTTTTCAAACGGAAACCCCTCGTGTGTATTACCGCTCCCTATAACCATCAGCATCCCCTCAGTGTCTGGACCACTGCATTAGGCTACATAACACATGACAGAGCAAAAACAATGTTTAAAAACCACGTCTGAAACGAATTAACGATTTTCACGTGCGCCAGAGACAGTAGGATGGATCACTAGCCTACACCTGTGTCTGAGAGTAAACGATTAGTGTTAAAAATGTGTATGGAAAAGAGAGAGAGAGACATTGAGACACACACAGAGAGACAGAGATAGCAGTAAGATAGAGATGGAAACCGAGCTGCACGACCAAAGAGACACATATTTCGCTCAAATTACACAAACCCACAAAGAATTTGAACACAAATAAAATTGACAAATTCCCTTTTCTGTTAGGCGAATCCCAGCAGCAAAATGTGTGACCTGCTGTCACAAGAACAGGTCAGTAACACTTCATTTAAGGGGTCCTTATTACAGTGTAATTACATTCTAGTTCATTGTAATAACTCATAGTTACACTGTAATAACAACCTGTAACTGGTGGTAATTGCAGTCTGTAATTAGGGCGGTGTAACAATGAATGCTTGTTACCATGCTTGTTACAAATGGGCAAGTTTACACTAAATTCACAAATTGAGTGTTTTTTTTGTTCTCAACTGCATCCGATTAAGTAATAACTACCACAAGGTTGTAATCTCTTGTGGACAGATGCGCTGGGTGTCCCAAGATTACATAGGCTCTAATTACCTACCTGTGAATGCACACTCAAAATTTCCACTCAATGTTGCTAGCACTTGCCCCCCAAAAGTATACCCTCTGGGTTAACTTGGTTGAGTTTACAAACACAGATAAGATGTAGGTCAACCTCACTGACTACGGGTGTCATCCTCAATGTCATCCTCAAGTGGGAGGATAAACACACAAGTACACCACAGAGTACATGTAAAATCTGCATACGTAAAATGTAATTACTAGGTGTTACACAGGATTTAAAATGAAGTGTATCTTATGCAGTACTTACTTGTAATTAATGTGTACTTATATAGTACATGACCCATCCTGACAACCTGACCCTAATTTTAAAGCTTCTGGAAGCACCATCCAAGTGAGAAAATAAACACAATAGTACACCACTATTGGCTAGCTAGATAGTTGGTAGGCCTAACAAAAACGCCAGAGAAGATAAGGTTAGCTAGCTACAGTTAACTAGCTAGCCAACACTAGGCTAGCTAGCTGGCAAATGCTAGCTAACTACTTATGCTAAATCGGCCAGTAGAATTCATGTGTGCAAAAAAGCTAAACAAATTGCATGGATAACTTGGTGTTGACATTTTTGTCTTGTCTACAACACTTTGTTTCCTTGGCGGCAATCTCTCGTCTGGATTTTGCACACTGACCTTCTTCTCAACCTGTTCTTTGCGCACTGTCACGTGATGTCAGTGTCAACAAGTTTGGTCCCGTTCAAGGTCGTTGTAATTTTGAGCGTGTTGCGCAGATGGGTAGATGTTGACTTGATGTCTTAATGAATAAATAATTGCACCAATGTAACCCATCCAAAAGTGAGAATGTTCCTCAACAGTGAAAACCTTGCAAGGTTACATGATGGAATAAGAGTTTGTCTTATGAACATTTTAAGTGCATTTATAAACCATTATTCAACCAAGCTTAATAGGCTTACAATTAGGCAAGAACCAATGACCATCTCACAATTTTAACCATTAAGGTGTCAAAAAAATATTGTAAGCCTATTAAATATTGTCAAATGCACCGTTAATTGAACAATTTTAAGTATTTTCTGATTTGAACCGTTTGTGAACTAGTTTTTACCATTGCAGAATTGTGTCAATGAGGTGGTCAGTTTTAAATTGGCTAACACTTATCACATGGTTTGTGCAGGCTGACCCCCAACCAGTACACACCTGATAGAATAACCAATGGGCGGAAGACAGCCATGATCAATGAAACCAGATGCAATGTTGTCCAAAAATTACATATGCAATAAAAAAAAACTGTATTTCCAAAATCATATTAACCCTGAAAGTGTAATTCTCTGTCTAGAAATCAGTCTGCACACTGTCACTGATATTATTTGTATTGCCATATTCCAGGCCACAGTGGCGTAGCGCAGTTCCATATCGCAGTTCGTTTTTTGGGGGGGGGATATATTTTTGTTGTTGTCATGGGGCAGAGAGAAAAATTTGCAGTTTTATAGCTAATCTCATGCTACTTTATACTGTACATTTTGCCATGAGGCTAAGAATTTGTTTTGCTGGTCTAAAAATGTTTTCATGCCATGTTCATATGCTACCTGGGGGGCCCGACCTCCGGGTAGTGTGACCAAATGTCCGGGATTGTGCGGGAGAGTCCCACATTTTGGCCCTTTGTCCTGCAACCAAACAAAAGATGTCCCGCATTTTATCAACAAATTCAAACACCACTAATTTAGAAAAAAAAGGTTGATTTGTCCTGTATTTCAGTCAGACATTCCAACCTGTCTTACGGTCACATTGCACTTACGAAAATATATACACTGAACAAAAATATGAACACAACGTGCAACAATTTCAAGGACTTTACTGAGTTACAGTTCATATAGGGAAATCAGTCTATTGAAATAAATTCATTAGGCCCTAATCTATGGATTTCACATGACTGGGAACACAGATATCACAGATACCTTTTAAAAAAAGGTAGGGGCGTGGATCAGAAAAAACAGTCAGTATCTGCTGTGACCACCATTTGCCTCATGCAGCGCGACATCTCCTTCGCATAGAGTTGATCAGGCTGTTGATTGTTGCCTGAGGAATGTTGTCCCACTCCTCTTCAATGGCTGTGCGAAGTTGCTGGATATTGCCGGGAACTGGAACACGCTTTGGTACACGTCGATCCAGAGCATCCCAAATGTGCTCAATGGGTGACATGTCTGGTGAGTATGCAGGCCATGGAAGAGCTGGAACATTTTCAACTTCCAGGAATTGTGTACATATCCTTGTGACATGGGGCCATGCATTATCACACTGAAACATGAGGTGATGGCGGCGGATGAATGGCATGACAATGGGCCTCAGGATCTCATCACGGTATCTCTGTGCATTCAAATTGCCATCAATAAAATGCAATTGTGCCTGCCCATACCATAACCCCACCGCCACCATGGGGCACTCTGTTCACAACGTTGACATCAGCAAGCCGCTCGCCCACACGACACCATACAAGCTGTCTGCCATCTGCCCGGTACAGTTGAAACCGGGATTCATCCATTAAGAGCACACTTCTCTAGTGTGCCAGTGGCCATCAAAGGTGAACTGCAGTCAGGTCAAGACCCTGGTGAGGACGAGCACGCAGATGAGCTTCCCTGAGAGGGTTTCTGACAGTTTGTGCAGAAATTAAATTATTCGGTTGTGCGAACCCACAGTTTCATCAGCTGTCCGGGTGGCTGGTCTCAGATGATCCTGCTGGTGAAGAAGCTGGATGTGGAGGTCCTGGGCTGGCGTGGTTACACGCGGTCTGCCGTTGTGATGTACTGGTTGGATGTACTGCCAAATTCTCTAAAACGACGTTGGAGGCGGCTTATGGTAGATAAATTAACATTACATTATCTGGCAACAGCTCTGGTAAACATTCCTGCAGTCAGCATTCCAATTGCAGGCTCCCTCAAAACTTGAGACATCTGTGGCATTGTGTTGTGTGACAAAACTGCACATTTTAGAGTGGCCTATTATTGTCCACACCACAAGGTGCACCTGTGTAATGATCATGCTGTTTAATCAGCTTCTTGATATGCCACACCTGTCAGGTGGATGGATTATCTTGGCAAAGGAGAAATTATCACTAACAGGGATGTAAACAAAATTGTGCACCACATTTTAGAGAAATAAGCTTTTTGTGCATATGGAACATTTCTGTGCTCTTTTATTTCAGCTCATGAAACATGGGACCAACACTTTGCATGTTGTGTTTATATTTTTGTTCAGGGTATATCATAAGGATGTGGTACTGGTGATGTTCAACACTTCTCCAATTGTTGTTGAGATCTGATATTCTGCGCGACGAGACGTAGGCCAATGTCATAGGCCTATCGTCAACCAAACACATTTCTCAAATCCTAAACTTGGAGAGGACAGCTGTCTATAACTACTTACAAAAAGTGTGCTTCTAACCAGGAGCTACAAAAGTAAGTAAATAGAGATATTAGACTGAAAGATATAAGGACATTTCATTAAACTTGTGAGGCTCTCCATGCTCATTAGTAGCTCATTCAACATATTATTTGCTGCTACTTAACTGAATCATGTTTTAAAAGCCTAACTGTTAAACATTCCCTGGTTGAGACCAACCAGACATTTTTCCATGGCCAAATATTCCCAGATTTTCATAAAACAGACACACGTGGTCTCTCATTTCTGCATTACCAAATTAAATCCAAGTTGAGCAACTCCCCTGGTGTCCTGAAGTCCTCCTTTTTTGTGTGCAAATATTTTCACCACGGCCTGTAGGTCCAGGGTGCGGGCCCGACTATACCAGTATTGCCAACCCAGACAGTTATTCCTGAGACATTGTGCTTTATATGTCCATTGCGCAGCACACAATTTAAACTTAGTCTTGAATTATGCATGCCAAGATATACCATGTCTGCTAAAGATGATCTGTTTGCATGTGCCAA